AATATGGCTTCTCCCCAATATGACCTGCTCATACCAGAATCCTCTAATAATGAATCTTTCATTGTTTGCAAAACACCATTCCGTCTTTCAGCTACACTGTTCTCTGCTGCTGTGTAAGGATTTGTACATCTGTGTCTTATCCCCAACTGCCCCAACCATTGTTGGAATTTAGTTGACATAAATTCAGTACCTCTGTCAGTTTGCAACTGACACACTTGTTGTCTGTACCTTCTCTCTACAAAACTTACCCACTGTTTGAATTATTGTAGCACCTCTGTCTTACTTCTAAGCATGTAACAAAATGAATACCTGCTATAATCATCAACAATTACCAGTGCATATTTTGCTCCTCCCAAACTGGCTTGCATAGGTCCCACCAGATCTGCATGGACTAGCTCTAGAGTTCTTTTTGTTTGTCTTGTGCTATATTTACTAACTGGGAATGCCTTTGATTTTGATGCTTTGCATACTGCACAGTCCAAATATGTTTTGCATCCCTTCAAATTTAGCCCTTCTGCAAACTCTTGCATTTGCTGCAAAACTTTAAAGCTTGCATGGCCAAGTCTTCTATATAGAAGGTGAACGCACGAATCATGCTCTGCAACATTTTTAAATATATGGGAACATTGAACCTTTTGTCCCTGCAATACATATAGATTATCTTCCTTTATGCCTTCTGCACAAATATTCCCATTCCTTTTGATGAGACACTTCCCATTTACAAAAATGGTCTCAAAACCTTGTTTGTTTAAATTAGACACACTTAACAAATTATGTTCCATCTCAGGTACACAAAGTACATTGGTAAACTTTGATTCCAAATATGGAATTTTTACATCGCCTCTTCCGATGACTTTTGCTTTCTGGCCATTTGTCAAAGCCAAAGCTTCTTGTGCTACTGGAACAAACCTGCAAAATAATTCAGAGTTATTAACAATTGTTTGATTTTCCCCACTATCTATTAGCCACTTGTCTCTGTTGTTGCTATAGCAAACTTTTGCAACACCAAAATGTTCCTTTTGCAAATTAGTCTTCTTTGCTTGCACAAATGTCCTTTGCTGTAAATTTTTCCTCTGCAAACAGTTCCTTTTTAGATATGTATTTGCACCACAAATGTAGCAATTCTTTTCTTGCTGAGCTCTCTGCTTGCAAAATCTCTCTTTTGTTGCAACTTGGTCCCATCTGCTCCTTGCTTCTCCGGAGACTTGCAGTCTGGATCCCCTCCTCAGGAATTTCACCTCCTCCTGGCTGCTTCTAAAATTGTGCTTCTCTTCTTCATTAAGCAAACATGCCTTTAAAGCCTCAAAATTTAAGTCTTGCTCTTTTTACACTCAAATATCGCAGAAACTATGTCCCAGGTTTTATCTAAACTGTTCAACACCAATAAAACCTTCTGGGACACAGGGAATTTAATCCCACATTGTTCTAAGTCCAAAAATAAACTTTGCATTTTATTTAAATGCTGTTCCACAGATTCACCTGGTTGCAAACAGGCCCTGTAAAGTTTACTTGACAATTGCACTATATTGCATGCAGAAACATTCACGTGCACAGCTCTCAACTTCAGCCAAATTTCCTTTGTAGTCTTTAGATTTGCAACATTTAGAAACTGTTCATCATCTAAATTTAAGATGAGATAAGCCATTGCTTGATCATGACTTTTCTGTTCAGCAGCTGCAAACACTTGTGGGGGATTTTCTACGATATATGGGCTGCAAACATTCCATTTTTGCAGCCCATATAATGTAATTCTTTTGGCCTAAACGAGGCACAGAGCTTTCCTTAAATTCCATTGCAGCCATTCTGCTAATTCTGCCTTGTTCTTATACTTTCTAAACACAGGCAATTTCTTTAAATTACAATGCAGTCCTTAGTAAGCTCTGGGCCCATAACCTGTTAGAGAATTTTAATTTCACCAGAAGTGATGGAAGGAGTTGAGGTTGCCGGAACCTTGGATGAAAGTGACCATGTCATACTGGAATTCAATATAATGAAAACACAAGCAATAGAAAATAATACAACCAGTGCCTTAAACTTCAAAAGAGCTGATTTCAACAAACTCAGAGAGAACCTAGGAAAGATTCCGTGGATGAAAATCCTAAAAGGGAAAACAACTCAAGAAGTGTGGGAAACTCTGAAAAATATGATAAAAGCCCAGTCCAGCACAATACCACTGAAAAGGTAAAACAAGAAATTCAAGAAGAAACCAGCATGGCTGCACAAAGATCTGACAAACTGAAAGACAAAAAGGACAAGTACAAAAAATGGAAAGAGGGGCACATAACTAAGGCCGATTATCAGAACATGCTAAGATGGTCAGGAAAGCAAAGGCTCAGAATAAACAAAGACTTGCAAAAGAGATCAAGGATAATAAAAAAAGTTTCTTCCAACATATTAACAACAAGAAAAAAGTTAAGGAAAGTGTGGGTACACTAAAGGGATAGGATGGCAAGGAAATAACAGGCAACGAGGAGAAAGCAGAGCTGCTTAACTCATACTTTGCATCAGTCTTCACACAAAAAGAAATCATAGCCCAACATACCCCAAAAAACTAATCAAAAGACAAACTAGAAACAAAAATTAAAATAAGCAAGAAAATGGTAAGAGAACATGTTAGAGAATTTTAATTTCTCTGTTGGTAAAAATAAATCAGAAGCTCTCAAAGTTGACTGTATTTAGCTGATTCAAATAACTTCTTTATATTCATATCAAAATATTTACAATACCATACATTCTTCTTTATAGCAACATAGCACAATGAAGACTTCTTACAGAGAGATGCAGAGACAGAACTGAGACTGGATAACAATTCCAGCTTCTAACTCAATACCTTTTTTGCACAGACTCAGTAGCACTTTCTTCACATTGGCTGACTGTTACCACATGACTCTTCCTGCTCATGAATATTCCAACAGAACACCTATCCGACCTTGACAAAAATAAATCACCAGGACTGGCAGCGTTATCTCAAAACCATTATACCATATCTTTCAAAAATCCTGGAGCACCAGGGAAGTACCTGAGGATTGAAAAAGGGCTGATGTAGTTCCCATCTTCAAGAAAGGAAAAAAACCGGACCCAGGATACTACAGACCAATCAGTTTAACATCAATACCTGGTAAGATCCTGGGAAAGATAATCAAAAAACAGATTTGTGAACAACTAGAAGCAAACAAATTTATAACTAGTTGCCAGCACGGGTTTGTTAAAAAAAGATGTTTTCCAGACCAATCTTATTTCATTCTTTGATAAAGTGACTAAACTAGTAGACGAGCGAAATGCTGTGAACTTAGATTTCAGTAAGGCATTTGACAAAGTGGACCACAACCTGCTGCTTAGTAAGCTAGAAAAAGGTGGGATAGACAACATCACCACCAGATGAATTTGTAGCTGCCTAACAAACCATCCTCAACAAGTAGTCCTCAATGGTACTACATCCACATGGAGAGAAGTAAGCAGTGGGGTACCACAAGGCTCCATCTTAGGCCCACTACTCTTCAGTATCTTCATAAATGACTTGATCAAATTGCAGATGACACTAAACTGGCAGGAATAACCAACACCCCAGAAGACAAGCTCAGGATCCAAAAAGGTCTTGACTGGAATGGGCCTTATCCAACAAAATGACTTTTAATGTGGAGAAAAGCAAAGTTTTACATTTAGGGAGGAAAAATCAAAGGGATAACTACAGATTAGGCAAGACCTGGCTCAAAAACAATAACTGTGAGAGGGACCTTGGAGCCCTAGTGGATGATCACTTGAATATGAGCCAGCAGCGTGCAGTAGCAACCAAAAAAGCTACTAAAATCCTGGGTTGTATAAACAGAGGCATAGAATCAAGATCACGTGAAGTATTAGTACCACTTTATAAAACCCTAGTAAGACCACACCTGGAATACTGCAACCAATTTTGGTCACCATACTACAAAAACGATGTTGAGACTTCGGAAAAAGTTCTGAGAGGAGCAACTAAAACAATCAAAGGCATGACTAAAATATATGAAGAACGGTTGCAGGACTTGGGTTTGACAAGTCTAAAGAAAGAAGAAACAGGGGTGACATGATAGCAGTATTCCAATATCTGAGCGGCTGCCACAAAGAAGAGGGGGTCAAATTATTCTCCAAAGCTTCAGAAGGCAGGATAAGAAAGAATGATTGGAAACTAACCAAAGATAGAAACAACCTGGAATTAAGGAGAAACCTCCTAACAGTGAAGACAATTAACCATGGAACAGCTTGCCTCAGAAATCAAGGGAGGTTTTTAAGAAGAGACTAGACAATCACCTGTCTGAAATGGTATAGGTTCTCCTGCTTAGCAGGGGGCTGGACTAGAAGACTTCCAAGGTCCCTTCCATCTCTACTGTATTCTATTTTAACTTCCTTTGTCTTGGGGTCTCCTGCTTTAAGTTTTTAACTTCCTTTGTCTTGGGGTCTCCTGCTTTAAGTTTCTCCCAGCCTATCATGAACACCTGAAAGTTTCTCTTCCTCCTTGGCTAGGTCCTTCTGTCCTTCAACAATTCCCCCATTACTGGCATTTTCAGTCAGTGGTGAAGAGCCCAACATTTGATTTATGTGAATGCTTGCTGAGGGATGTTTGAGGATTTTGTTCCCAAGAGGAGTTGGGATTTTAAGACCCTGCAATAGGTGATGCTACTGCAGGATGGTTCTCTTGGTGGTCCATTATGTACTGTACTGCACTCTATCCTTAGTTGCTGGCAAGAGGGTAGAACAGGCAATGAGTTGAGGAGAAGCTGATTGAAGAAAGGGAGAAAAAAACTGATCCAGGGGTGTTTGTTAAAGTCAAGTAGCATCAGCTCATTAGAAACGGCTACAGGTCAGCAGCCCTGGTTTATGGTCTTGATCCTGGTCCTGGCTTTGCAGTCAGCCAAGGGATCTTCAAAGCATTTTCAGAGTGCTATCATGAAATGAAGTTACGCAACTCTGGAGCATCATTGTTGTGGAGGGTGACCATCCACTTGGCTGTGGTTCCCTCTAGTGTCATGGTCATGTGCTGCACCTTTGCCCCTTCAGTTATCTCTGGACCATACTCCTGCATGTAGGTCCAGATCTGAGCCAGGAAGAACCTCAATTCCTTAGGGTCTCTGCCATACTTCACCCCATGGTGTGGTGGTCTGCCACCTCTTCTCTTTGGTGGTGCAGCCCAGGCTGATGGTGCTGGCTGGGCTCCCAGGGCAGTGGCTGCTGGTGGAGCCCTAACCTGTGCCTGACTGCTGGGGCAGGTGCTGCAAAAATCCTTTGCCTTTTTTCCCCCCTTGCCCCCTCTCCCCAAGCTTTGATGATAGGATGCTGGCAAGGCACCAAGCTGAAGATGGCAGAACTAACACTTACCAAGTGGTTCATTTGCACCAGTACTTGACCACCACACCATGGGGTGAAGTATGGCAGAGACCCTAAGGAATTGAGGTTCTTCCTGGCTCGGATCTGGACCTACATGCAGGAGTATGGTTCAGAGATAACTGAAGGGGCAAAGGTGCAGCACATGACCATGACACTAGAGGGAACCACAGCCAAGTGGATGGTCACTCTCCACAACAATGATGCTCCAGAGTTGCGTAACTTCATTTCATGATAGCACTCTGAAAATGCTTTGAAGATCCCTTGGCTGACTGCAAAGCCAGGACCAGGATCAAGACCATAAACCAGGGCTGCTGACCTGTAGCCGTATATACCCAAGAATTCCACAATCTGGCCTGCGGATTGACCAACTGGCCACAAGACATGCTGATCGAGTGTTTCTAGGATGGGCTGAATAATGATGTCTACAACACCTGCATCTCCAGGGGCAATCTCCCTACCCTCCATGGTTGATATGTCCTAGCCAAAGAAGTCGAAATCTACCTGGCCCATTCACCTGGCCCAGCCGTGGGTGGCAGAGATCCTTCCCAGAAAAGAAAGAAGCCCCAAAGTCACCAGCCTGTGAGCAAAGCCTGTGCCAATGTTCCATTGGCTGCTTCAAGTGTGGGGTGAAGGGGCACTGAGCTTCTGAATGCCGAGCCATGCACCCAGCCCCAAAAATACTCTCAGGCTCCACCAAGAAGCTGGTGAAGCTGACACCAAGAACCCGAGACAGCCTTGGAGGGAGTGGAAGTCGTCGAGTTCACTCTATCCCCCAAGGATGGCAAGAGAACTCCAATTATTCCAGCAGAAGGACCGGTGGAGATGATGACCCCTTAGTAAGTTGTCCAGTGATCCCAGTAACTATCTCTATAGAACTGATGGTGCCATCCTCAGGGTGCAAGTGAAGTGTGGTTGCCCTCCTGTACTCAGGCTGCACCAGATGCCTGGCAGCCATGCCCTAGTTGAGAAAATAGGTCTAAGACTCAAGCAGTTTAAAGTGCTCATGGCTTTTAGCCAGCTGGACAGCTTGGTAGCGGTGTGTGTGTGTGTGTGCGTGCAACATTCATCACCAAGCCAAAAGAGATGAGAATGGGGGCGCACACAGACATCCTGAGTTTTATTGTGGCACCTGGCATGCAGTGACCCCTAGTGGCTTGACATGGCTATTGAAATAGAATCCATATGTAAACTGGAGAAGGAGGATGTTCAAGATTCAGCGGGCCAGTCCAAAAGGGAAACAGAAAAGAAATTTGAGGTCCCTACTGCTAAGTCGCCATGGGCAAAACTAAGAAGGGAGGTGGGAGCTGCAATGAAGGAGCACCCCCAAAGGTGATCCCTGGATTCCTAAACAATATTGGGACCTATGGGAAGTTGCCAATGAAAAGGACTCAGACACACTCCCACCCCACTGCCTGCCTGACTGCTCCATAGAAATCCTACCAGGGCCTAAATTGCCCAAGCCCAAATTGTACTCCATGAACCCTAGAGAATTAGAGGAACTGTGGGCATTCATAGACAAAAACTTGAAGTGTGGTTTTATATAACCCGCCAGATCACGAGTGGCTGCCCCTGTGCTGTTTAAGGAAAAGAAAGATGGGTCCCATCATCTATGCGTAGATTATCATGGGTTAAATGCTGTCTGCATTGAAAATGTCTATCCACTGCCGCTAATGAAGGATATACTAGCCCATCTGGCCAAGGGGAGGATTTTTACTAAATTGGACTTGCAGGAAGCATATTACTGGGCTAGAATCAAGGAAGGAGATGAGCGGAAAATGGCTTTCAATTGCCCCTTGGGGTGTTTCCAATTCTGAGTTTTCCCATTCGGACTGCAGGGTGCCCCTGTTGTATTTATGCAGCTGTTAAATGAAGTACTGTATGAATACCTGTATAAGGGAGTTCTGTTTATTTAGATTTCATTTTGATTTATACCAAAACCAGGGTGGAACACGTAAAACCGGTCAGGGCTGTGCTCAAAAAACTCCGGACAACCCAATTGTATACTAAACTGTCCAAATGTTAAACTGCTGGCCCGCGGGCCGGATGTGTCATGCCAAAACCGCGCCCACCTCATTGTCAGCAATGGAAAAAGAGTCACAATACATCGCAACACATCACATGACATTGTGAGTTTGACACCCCTGATCTAGAGTATCACATGTCCCATGAAGGAATACAAATGTATCCTGAGAAAGTGTGAGCAGTTCTGAAATGGGCTCCTCCTCACACGCGGAAGCAACTTCAAAACTTCCTGGGATTCACAAACTTTTACCACCAATTCATCCCACAATTTGCTTAGGTAGCCCTTCCCATCACCAACCTACTGAAGACATTGTCCAAGGTGAATTTAAAAACTCAAGTACCTGTTTGTGGCAAAGCTGGTGCTAAAACACCCTGGCCCAAATTCTCCCTTTGTTATTCAAGCAGACAAGTGATGTGGCAGTGGGGGCAGTGCTGCTACAGAAAAACAAGCAAAGGGTCCTGCAGCCATGTGCATATTCCTCCAAAAAGCTTACCGAAACTGAGCACAGGTGGGCGGTTTGGAAAAAAGAAGTGTATGTGGTACGCTAGGCACTCCTGGTCTGGAGGCATTTCTTGGAAGGGAGCAAAGCCCCTTTTGAGGTGTGGACTGATCACAAAAACTTAGAAGCCCTAAAAACTCCCCAGAGACCATCACCCAAACAAGTCCGCTGGGCTCAGTACTTTAATTCAATTTTACCCTGCAGTACTTCCTGGGAGGAAGAATTTTGGCTGTGGTTTGTTCTCCAAGCTTGTTTTAATATAATTCCTGAACATTTCGTTATCAAACTAGGTAACATCATTCTCTTTAGCATTCTTGGTAACATTCAGACATTTATTTCATAGATGTTGTAAACTTCAATAAAGAATGTTTGTATTGTAAATGTCCTGCTCTGAAAAGAACATAGATTTTTTTCCCCTTATAAGAAAAGTAAAAGGAGAAAGATTAAAATTCTGTTAGTCTATACTTCCAAGAAGCAATTGAGCAAAAGTTGGTTACCTTTGAGTCTGAAGGATGTTGGCAGAAAACAAGAAAGGGATTTGGGTTCTTCCACTTCTGCACATAAGGATTGCTCCAAGACAGGAACAGATATAACCTATTGGAGAAAGCTCAGGGTTTGTTTCAAAACAGATATTTTCATCTCCCTTAAAGCTCTTTCAGGCTAACAGTTTTGTCAATGATCTGACCCAGAGTTTTGTCTAATAGAGAGGAAAAGACATGGGGAGAATGTAGCATCAGTTCTTGTCCCAAAAGCTCCACTTGCTCACCCTCACATTGAACACAAGAACATCTACGTAGGCTGAGGACAGATTTGGTTTATTTTAAACAAGCAAATGGTTTGATCATTTGTACCTGTCCTCCTCTGTTCAACCTTTGGCAAATAAATAATCCATTAATTTAGCTCTCCTGTCTAGTAACATCTCTGGGTAGATGACCTGAACTAAGTTTCATCCAGGAAAGATTTTTTGGTGGCAGCAGGGAATCTGAATGCAGGACTAGCCTAACAAGGGGAATGTCTTCTGCTGCTTAAAGCTTGAAGACGAATTCTCAGCAATCAGGGAACAGAAGAACAGAAGACATTTTTGGTCTATAGTCCTGACTGGCTGCTGAAGCTGAAAATGCTGACTGGTTTGGAGGCAGCCTGGAGCTCCATTCCAGTCAGGAGAGTAATGAAGGGGGTTCTATTTATGCCACCTGGCTTGAAATAAAGCAGAGCACAGATCTGTTATCCCAACCCAAACAAGAGTTGCTTTCTAGAACTAGGCAATTCTAACATGTTAGAATTGAAATGTCTTCTTACCAAATAATTTGTATGAGCCCAGCAATTGTGACTTGTTCACCAACTGGAGGACATGTAGAATGTACTAATTGTACTATCAATTGTCTGAGAAAGAACCTCTACAAAGAAAAGGAGGTGCCATCTCTCATTGTCATGTAGCATAAGGGACTAGCAACAAATGTATAGAAATGAATCCCAACCCAAGAAAAACAGCAAATTGTTTCTCACAAAGGAACAGGCTTAATGCTGACTAGGCATCGACCACCATTTCCCCATAATTTCAATGTCTCAAGACAAGCTAAGATTCCCGCTCCAGGGGAGACTGCAGCCAGGCAGTCAACAAATCAGTGGACGGTACTCGGCGCCAACAAGGTTGCGTAGAGTCTGCGGACCGAATTTGACAGAGACGGATTTGAAACACTCTACTGTAAATGACAGTATTTCTCGTCTGAACCTCCGTTCCCAAAGCAGCTTGCTGGTTGTGCCCCGACAAGGAGCGCCCCGCTTCTAGCCTCTTGACTCTCCCGCTAAGCCCCCCGGAAGGCGCATCTCCGTTCCGTCCGGGTTGCTCCCTGCTCTCAAAGGTCTTCCCTGGTCCGCTGTTTCTGCTCTGTCTGTTCTCACTGGAGTTAGCCAGGAAGAGCCCTTGGCCGCCATGGGAGGGAGGCAAAGAGGAGCGCCGTTCTCTGCCTCTCCCGTCTGTCTTTAGGTGGCGTCCCATGCCACCGCCCGGACTTCCCGATTCGCTCCCTGCAAAGCCGGCGGGGACAGCGATCCGAGCGCTGCCTTCGCCTGGAGAACCTTCAACGCCGCAACCCTGGACATCGGGACGGTTGGGCGAGACGGTGGGGGAACCCCGGGAGGCCTCTTTCCGCCCGGAACTGGCATCCCAACGCTTCCCTTCCTCCTTCACTCTTTTTCCGCCCGGGGAAGGCCTCCCGGAGAGTTCCCCGACACCCGCCCCCCTCGGTCTCCCGCTTTGAGCATCCCCTTCATTCGCGGACTGGGCTCTCAGGCATCTTTCTCGCGGCGTGTTACGTCTGAATCGATTGAAAGATGTTTTGGTTTTGGCTTGCAGTCCAGGTTTGTCATTGTGGCGCCATTACAGGAAAGGAGATCTCGCAGCGGTCAGTCGCGACATCTTCTGTCCCGACCCTCGCGATGCCCTTCTGCTCTGCTCTCACAGCCAAGCTAGGGGACGAGCAGCTGCTCGGCAAAAAGGGCCCCTCCCGCCTCCAGGCCGAGCTGCCGAGGCGCAGAAGGAGCTCCCTTCGCGCCCTTCCAGCCAACTCGCCCGCTGCCTCTCGTCTGAGCAGCTGGGCGCAACAGGAACCCCTGCCCTTGCCATTTGTCGTCCTTCGCGGCTGGCGGCGTTCTCTGGGCGGGTCCGGAGCGAAGTTCTAGGGGCGGAGAGTCGAACTGCTGCTCGGCAGTGAAAGGCCCCGAGTCTCCAACCCAGAGCGCTTTCCGCCCTCCTGGACCTGGTGGGCGCACCCCCAACCTCCTGCGCCAGGCCACCTCCCCTGCTCTCGCCACCGGGGCCTTCGCTTTCCCGAGGCGGCTGGAAAGACCCCTCTTTTCCTCCGTTGCCGGCCAATCGGCTCCCTCCCAGCTCAGGGGCAAAGAGCAGCTGGCGGACATCAGAAGGCCCATTCCTTGCTCCAACGGGACTCGACGGCTCTTTCCCCCGGCACAGGTTCACGCGACGCCCGCCTCCCTGAACCCCCGGTAGAACGTTCTCCCCGCTCCGAGGTCTAGTGGCGTCGGTGAAGCTGGGCCGAGGGGCGGCGTCGGGGTCGGATTGCCGCCGCACGCGCCCTTTATCTCCTCCGCCGGGGATGACGGACTCTTAGCAGCGGGCACCCTTCCCGTGGCGCAATGAGCAGGACGGCGCTGCTACCTGGGCATCGATGGAAAGGGAGGAGACTAGGCTGCGGGGGGCGAATACCGCAATTCTCCGGCTCAGCTCCTTCCTCCTTGCCAGATCCAGGCGCGCCATAGCTCAGTGAGTTCTCAGGGAGCTTCGCGGGCGAAGCAGAGGAAACTCCCGGCTACAGGAAAAGGACTTGCTCCCAATGGTCAAGGAAGAAGAGACAAAAGTCGTTTGATAATTTGCAGGGGAATTCGGGGGCTGCAGAAATTTCAGTCGGGGATTAAAAATTCACACGATGTTTCAAGGAACCCGACTTGAAGATATTACTGATTCCACGGAATTGTGACTTGGTTTTATTAAAACCTTTGCCTATTTTCAATGGAATACACAAGGAAAACGCAGGAGCAGAGTTTTCATCCCCAAGTATCCCCCCAGACTCCAGTCTCCTAGGAGCATCTCGCTTCAGAAATGTGAGGATTTGTCCATCTATCCCACCTCTCTTCCTCCCCTCCCCAGTTTCTTTACTCATTATTTTTAAATTCTAAGAGAGGGAGTTTAAACTTCTCTTAATTCCCAGTTGCCCAGAATCCTTGAAGGTCATTGAACCCCCACCTTTCTATTTGGAGAACTGGTATGTTTCTCATAGTCTTTTCCGCATATAAAGGCCACCTGTTCATTTCACTCTGCAACCCTGAAACATCCAGCAAATGTGTGAGATTGTCCATAATGATAAATGTTGGATTCTATTAGCCACGCTCGCTGAGGCAAAACACTTTAATTTTGTTCCGAATTCGTTCAATGTTTTTTGTGTATAAAATTTATTTATTCGTTCACACTGACGCTGAGAATATTTTTAATAAATAAATTGACAAACCTGTCCTGCATAAGAATCAGATATGAGAAACGTGGTTCTAGTCTGGCAAAGGACATGGCAGAGAGGTTTTTTTCTGAAACGTCTAAAGTTTTTTGCTACAATCAAATTCGTGCATATAATTTATTCAAACTGACAAAAATGTAGAATTTCGCCTAGTTCTGTTTTGAGGAACTTTCAAAATGCATTTTCTAGGTTGAGAAGAAAATGCACCCTTCATACTCTACAAATTCTCAAGCATCAAAAGGCAAGCTTTAGCAACACCATCACATTAGATAGCAGATTCGCCATTTTTGAATGGATTTCAGATGCAGAAGAAAATAAACAGTAGAAATATATGTTCCTTTTAATTTCATTCTAGGCAAAGAAAAAAGACTCTCGATTTCAGCATTTTGATTAAAGGAAAAATAATGAAGCAGTAGTCATTATACATTATCAAATTATTTTCTGTTCACAATAATGTGACATCACAGCTGTCAGTTCTTTAGATAGTTTTGGCCTTCATAAGTATTAAGTTCTTCCCAAGAACATAAGATGTCGTAATTTATAGGTGTCGTATGTATAGATGCAAGCATGTGGCCTTTTGCAATTGACAAATGGAAATTTTGTCAGTGCTCAGATTTTCTAAGTGCTGTCCCAGATTTTTTGATATGGCACCTAGTGTGTGGATAACTACTGGGTGATGTTGTTTATTATTAATATTAACCAATAACGATTTCATATTGGTCTCTTGTGCGACATCAACCCAGGGTGAAGTTGACACCACCGCCTTAAAGGCCTGGGCAGAAAATGTCTCTGGTCCAGCAACGGCTTTGCCAGCCGGTTACCCCAGCTGGAGGTTGAGCTTAACTATCCTAGAAAGCCGAAGATGTATGCCGCTGACTCGGGAGAGGCGTAAAAGCCGAGAAGGGCTGTCCTCGAGGAATTCCCCTTCCTTCTCGGCCAGAAACTCTTTCTCGGGCAGGGAAACCCTTGGCAGTGAAAGGGTTAAGGCGGGTGCTCCAGGACCGGACTCTCCCGCGGGCCGGAAAAGTAGTGCAGCCAATGAACGTGCCGCCCGAAACGAGCTCCGCCCCCGAGGAACGGCCGGCGCCCGCCTCGGCTCGGGCGCTCCGGCGCTGGACTGACAGCTGGGCGGGCAGAAAAAGGCGGCCGAAAGCCAGTGAGCACGCAGAGGCGTTGTGTGGGACGGAGTCGAGAGCTGCCTGGCCGGAGGAGCGTGTCGGCAGGTTCAGCGACGGCCGGGCTCTTTATGGGAACAGCGCACAACTGGTCCGGGTGGGGGCGGCGGCGGCGCTGAGGGCAGCGTCCAACTGAAAGCAGATCTCCCGCTGCTGCCCGACACGGCAGCCGAGCATCCGTCCCAGCCATGGCCCGGCACAACGCTAGCCTGGCCCCGACGCCTTTTTCCATTCAAGCCCTCCTCACCAAGAAGGAAGTGGGCGCCGCGCGAGTCGTAGCTGCCGCCCGTCCTTGCCCTCCGATGCTCCTGCCCAACCCCGAGGGTACGTCCGCCTGCTGCTGGCGCCTCTTTGACCCGGCGGCCACCACTCTGGGCCCCGTGCTCCAGCCGCCGCCGCCGCCCCAGGAGCAGCAGCGCTCTGACCCCGCGGCTGCCCGGCCACCCCACTGCGACTCGGATTCAGTCCTGAGCGAGGAGCACGACGGCGACGACGAGGAGCAAGAGTCCGGCGGCAGAGAGGGCCACGTGCCCGCTGACTCCCGAAGACCCCGAGAGAGGCTGCACACTCGATTCCTCGTGGGAAGAATCGGCACCGAGAAAGGCCACCCTCCTCCGTCCCCGCAAAGCCAGCCCCCGGGTCAAGGTTCGGGGCCGCCGACAACAGGTAAGCATTCGGAGCGATCACGGGAGGACTGTGGAGCGGGGCGATGCCGGTGGGAATGGGGAGACTAGGCCAGGTCGTGCTCCTGCTCATCCGGAGATCTCGCGGGTATAAAGCTCTGATCGGGGAGAATAGAGGGCGTTTCTCTCTTAGAGGGAAGGTAGTCCCGCTGGGCACTGAGGACGACCCCAGCCTTCCGGAATCCTCCGAGAACTAAGCGTTCTGCTCAATGGATCGCTGCTAGAAGGCCACCTTTGGAGGGCAGCGACTCACCTTCGGCCGGGGCTGGAAATCTGGAGCCTCGCCCTGCTCCCAGTTCTGGGCCTGCGTGGCCCCGATCCCCAGGGTTTAAAAGGCAGCGTTTGCCGGGCCTAGCGGAAGAAATAACTGCGAAGCCATTCTGGCTCCTGGGCGCTGTTCTTTTCCTACCCGCGTCTCCCTTCGGCAGGAACCCGTTCTAGTCAGGAAAGGGCAGCCGGGAAACGGGTCGCGAAAGCGGAGGGCCGCCTTCCCAGCTGTTCGGCTGGGCCTGAGTAGGCCAGCGGGGAAGCCCGATCTCTTAACCCGCCCGGGGCACGTTGCTAATTGCACTCTCGTCGGCCGCTTTCGTGGGACCCCATACAGTTCCGAATCCGAGTTGGCTGCCGTGGCTGCTGAGCCTGAAGACTCGCCCCGTGTTGTGCGCGCCGCCTTCCGACGGACAAAGGCCTTCTCGCTGAACTCGGAAAAGGCGAGCTTAAACTTAATAGAGGATGTTTCTCCTGCAGGAAATGGATCGCGTGAAGCCTAGTTACTAAAGGGAAAGAAGGGCACCGTCCTCCCCCCTGAGATTCCCAGACAGAGTCCGTTTTCCCCGCATCTCTTTCAGCCGCCGACCGCTCAGGGGCAAATGCAGCCGAGGAGCTTGTCCTCCTCCAGACAAAGCATTGCGCTTTCCAGGCCTTTAAAGTGGATCCCGGGGCGGTTTCAGTAACCCGCTGGGCCGGAAACTTAGGAGAATCCCGGCGTGCGGGGGGGAGTACTAGGGTGCCGATTGCTGGATGGCGTCTCCCTGGCAGTTGCTGCACTTGGGTTGAGCCTGGCGGCGGAACAGAGACTTACGCGGGGCGGGAGGAAGAGACGCGTCGCCTGTTCTCTTCGGCTTTTCTAGGCCGCAGAGAAGAGCTTTCGTTTCTGTCTGCCCCTCCATTTGGAGAACCGGACAGAGGGGAACCAAGGATGCGCCACCAGGGAAGCCCCGCATGTACAAAGAGGCCCAGAAGCGAAGGGCTCGAATGGAGAAGTTTTCTACCACTAGGAATCCGGAGAGCAGCACGCAAAGTTGAGCTGCGTCTCTCCTCACCTTTGTTGGCCTTCCCGCACACCAGAAGGGTCTGACTTTGGGGCAAAATCTGCTTCGGTCCGCCTGTCGAAACCAAGCCAGGGCGAGACCTGGTTCAGTTGATGGTAGTGACGCGCCTTGCCAGTTCCGTGCAAATAAACCTGAGACAAGAACACTTAGAAGAGTGGTTTCTATAGGTTACTTTACACAGCTCCTGTCTCTGAAGGCTCGACTGCTGCTCGGCTGAGATTTTCTGACGCCAGGGTGAGATTTTGAAGCAAAACAATGCCTAGGAACTGGGAAGTACGGTTAGATTTAACAAACTGCTTATTGGAACTTGGCGGGACAGACTGGAGCTTTGTGCCTCCGCTAACAGAGGATTAACTCCTGCAGCTTTTGCGAGAAGAGTTTGGCTGCTGGGAAATTAAGACCTGGCCTTGTGTTTACCCTGAGACAAATAAAATTCCATCCCATGCTGGTCTCCTTTCAATTCAATCTCCTTTGATTTACACCTGTAATCCGCGTAACTGGTTTTGAAGGGCTTAGATATGCGTGTGGCTGCACGGGAGAAGCCCAAGAAAAAGAGTAAAGAGTCTGAAGCCTGGTAGGCCATCCGTCAAAAAGCCCTAGGACAGTGGAGAAGGGATGTTAACCACCGGCATCAGCGCCTTGCGAAGGAGGCTTGCCTTTAGGGATAGGAGAAATGTAGGCCCAATGCTGCTCCAGGATCGGGCAGAATGGGAAGTGGCAGGGGGCCCTCCGATGGCAGGCCAAGTCTCTCTGCTCCGATGGGAGAAACTGAGGTGGAGGGGAAGTCGGGGAGGCGGGGCACGTGGCTGAAGGGGCACCCCGAAATTCCTACTCCTGACTCTGCCTGCCTTCTTTTCCCTCCTCAGGAGGCGGCAGCCACACTGAAGAGGAGGACAAGGAGGAGGAGGACGACGAAGCCAAACACGGCTGCCTGGGCTCCAAAGCCCTCTCCGAGGAGGACGAGGCGATGTCGGCGGGCATCCCGGCCCCAGTGGCAACCTCGACGGCGTTCCAGAAACCGCGCAAAAAGCGCTCGCGGGCGGCCTTTTCCCACGCGCAGGTTTTCGAGCTGGAGCGGCGCTTCAACCACCAGCGCTACCTCTCTGGGCCCGAACGCGCCGACCTGGCTGCTTCGCTCAAGCTCACCGAGACGCAGGTGAAAATCTGGTTCCAAAATCGGCGCTACAAGACGAAGCGGCGCCAGCTGGCCGCGGACTTATTGTCTGCCGCGCCGGCGGCCAAGAAAGTAGCGGTCAGAGTGCTAGTCCGTGATGATCAGAGGCAGTATCACCCGAACGAGATAGTCCGGCCGCCTCCCCTCTTCTCCTTCCAGCCCTCTTACTATTATCCTTATTACTGCCTGCCGGGCTGGGCTCTTTCCGCCTGTGCTGCCCCTGCCGCCGGGGGCATCAAATGAGGCTCGGGTCCCGTCCGCTCCAGAGCACGAAGGCTAGTGGGGCGAGGAGAAACGAGGGAGGGAGGCAAGGAAAGAAGGGAAGAACAGTAGGGGAAAGCTCGGCAGCCGATCTGTTCTTTCGGCCGCTTCTGCTCTTCTGGAGCCGCCTCTACAGTCCTCCTTTCTTAGTTCAAACGCCGCCGGAGAAGAGTCAATCCCCTCCTGCCGGCTTCGCTGAATAATTGAGATTTTACGGGACAACCAAGCGGGCCGTTCTTTTGCTCCAGCACCTTGGAGGTAGTTGGACTGTGCCTGAACAAACGCGCTCAGACCGAACAAGGGGACCATCTTCCGTCCACTCTAACGCGGGTATGCAGGAGTTTTCCCGCAGCTTCCTGGCCTGTGACCTGACTTCTCGCAGTTATGGAGCGCAGTTTGGGAAACAATATGATTCTAGCACTTTTTGGTTGTATTAAAATCGTTGTGTTTATAATAATTATTTTTATATTCAGTATGAATTTAATACTGGGGCCTTTGAAGGGAAAAAGAAACATTTGCGGTGGGAATGTTGAAGTCATTCGGTGCCTTTCCCCCCCCCTTTATTCTCCCATTTCGCAGTAAATGCCCTCATTTTTTTTTTAGGTGGAGAGTTGCAAACAACTATGACAATTTACTTCCACTGAATTGTGAATATTTGTGCGTCAATCTCTTCCTTGTACCACCCCCCCTAATTTATAAAAATCAATCTAACTTTTGGCAATTGGTTTGTTTTTTAATTCTAAAACTGCGCTTGGTTTGAACTCTCCCGAACTGTGTGCAGAAACGCGAAGACTTTGGTTTCCTCCAGAAAAACTCACGTTTCAGGCCGCGGCCATATGACGACTTGATCCCTCGCTGGCTGCCTCACTCTTGCGGGGGTTCCTTCTCTTGGATTTGGTGACCACGGGCATTTCGGTAGCCATTCAAGTATCAAAGGGGTCTTTGTTCTGAAAATAACTGGGTCGATTGCAGGGCACCCGCAAACCTGCTTCAATTTCTCAGGCTGTTGAGTGCGATCCGAATGTTATGTCTACCCCAAGAGGCTTGGAAGCTTGGATTTAAATCTGAAACCAGTAACTGGATTATTGACCCAATTTAAGTAGGGATTATAGTTAAAAATCTTCAAAAACCATCCTTTCTCTCCACAGCTTCCTTTTCCAGCCTAAGATTTATTCCCGTTCGTACTGATATTTATTGTAACAAAATCAAAATAATGATTTGTTTTTTATTTCTGATGAAATAAGTAGGCAAGAGTAAACGGGGGAGGGAGACGAAGAAGCAAACGGAAAAACAGCAGTTTGGCACTTGCTGGAGGAATGGTGATTCTTCTGAAAAGATATTTAGTAAGAGAAGTTTAGACAATGTTGGAAACAACACATTCATAAATCAAGAAAAATAAATAGTAAATGGAGAACCAGTCCAAGCAACGTTCTTGGGAAGTCTGGTAGATGGCAAGTGAAAATGATGGATTAAATAGCCTTTCTGTCCACAAATTGGGGTGTTTTATAGGCTGCACTGTATCAAAAGCGGGAAGGGAAGGCAAAATGGCAGACTAAGCCATGCGGGAGGATATAGCACAGGTGGGAATAGTATGAAACCCAGTGGCTGCCTCGATTTTCCTTCTAGAAAGCTTCTGGGACACCTGCTTTAGCTGCCTGGAAGACTTTCCACAGTTCAGGGCTCATGGGATTGAGGATTTTTTTCCCCTTCAGTCCTACAGAGTTCACCATCACCTTGAGGGCGAAGTTTGGCTCCAGTTCTTGTATACCTTCACTTGGAGTTAAAGTAGGAGGAAAAAGCCTAGGGCCTGCAAGAGTAGCCATGGAATCCTGCTTTTGAGCCCAGCTAAATCCAAAGAAATGCAGAAACGAGTAAGGCAAATGGCTATGTTCACACAAGAAGCAGAATTAAGTTGGGGCTGAAGCAACTGGATGTCCTGATGCCCTACTACTCGTGGCACTAGGATCATCTGACTTACTGGCTAAAGATGGGGTTTGAATATATTGTGTGTCCTCTGGGCACTCCCAAATTTTAGGGTTTTCTGAAGGGAGCCAGCAAAGGGTTTGGAGAGCTGTTGCTGGGTCAAGATGTTATCATCACAATCCTAATAGGTAATGGAGGGTGGAGGCTGAAGTGGGGAGGACAGCACCTACTTTCTTCTCTTGGTGCAAATTGGAAGTTTCTGAAACCCTTGCATAGTTAGCCAGCTTCCCTTCTTCCTCCCATTTGTAGATTTCATTTTTTCGATTAATTGTTCTTTCCATCCTCACTCTCAGGAAGACTGCAACATTTCATGCAGCTAGGATGGGAATTCTTTAACCCTGAAAGGTGCATTCTTGCTGTACCCACCCCAAGGGACCAAACTCATAAATGTTGCATTTCTTTCATTTCAAATGCATCAACAAATTTGGAATGGGCAGCCAGGCAAGATTAGAAGAAGCACTTTTCCTGGCTGACCACTGCTTTAACTAAGGGCAAAATATCAACTCACTCCCTTTTTTCTGACTTCAGGCTAGAGAACCTTCCTCATCACCTTTCCCTCCTTTCCTCAAAGTTGTATTTCAATTCCTACATTAATAGCCTATAAATCATTGGTAGTAGAAACTCTGTGAAATTTGTAATTAGGTTTTTGATTCTCAGCAAATTAATCAGAGTAGATTTTGTAAGATTCATACTATATGTTAGCAAATTCTATCTAGTAGATTTACCATTAGCTTTGGCGTATACTTCCTAGGATTCAGTTGTCCTCTAAATGCACAGCAGAAACTCATCTACAAGGGCTTTTGGTTAAGAAAAGGGAACCTTTAGTTGTCCTTGATTTCACAGTAAATAAATTCCCATGGGGAAAAATAATAAAAAAAATTAGTAAAAGTAATAATTTCAAAATAATAAAAGAATTTCATGGCATTTGTTATACTTTCTTCCCATAGGCCGCAATACGAGGTATCCTTAAAATGTACAATTCTTTAAGCCCTAAGGGTGCAAATGATAGTTTTTGGGGTATTTTTGTAGTTGTTTTTATCAGGCTGTCAGCCGCCCTGAGTCCGCAAGGAGAAGGGCGGGGTATAAATTCAAATAATAATAATAATAATAATAAAAAGCAGCAGATCTCCACTAGTGTAAGGTTCCTTTTCATTTCTGCCTCAAAATACACTGGCCCTTTTTATATGGTATTTTCAGCTTCTTGATCCTGGGATCTGGAGCTTAGTTGGGCAAGATTGGCCTTGCTGTGAGTCACAGGAAAGTACTCAGTGCCAGGTGCCAGGAAAAAAAACCCTCCCCTCAAAGCCAGACCTAGGAGGGGGTGCAGGGGAGATTTGGGGAATGTCTGGGACTGAGAAGAAGCTTTAGAAACCACTTTGTGGACATTATCTCTGAAATGCCCATCTTTTCCCCCACTAGAGTTTTTGAACATCCTAGAGCAACCCAGTGGAGCTTGGAGGAGGGCAGAGGGCACCCCTAGTACATCTGAAAAATGGAATGAGTTTAATTCTACCAGGTGGCTTAAGCTTCAGGACTGGCTAACTCAGAATTCTTGAGAATTTGGTGTCCTCCCATTCCCCCCCCCCCAAAAGAAGGTAGCGACACAGTGCTGTTCCATTCCTCTTTTCCTTAGCTGCACCTACCTGAGGCATGAACAGGGCCTAGCAGCTCCTTTTTTATCCCCCCCCCATTACCATATGCACCAGTGAGAGAGACTTAAGTCTACCCTTCATCCCTCCAGGGTAAAAACAGCTTCCCCCAGATTCTAGCACCAAATAGAAGAGCCTTAAAGCTGTAGACAGTTCGGTGTTGTCCTGAAGTCAGAGGGCTGCAGAGCCTGGGAACTAGGAATCACCACTGAGAAGAGCTCGCTACTTGCTAACAAAATTCAGTGAAAATAGTTAAGCTTGGAGAGACCCATCCTGCCAGCAAGAGGGCAAGGAGAGAAAAGACCAAAGGGGATTCAAGAGGGGAATGCAACCCACAAGCTCCCAGGCCAACAAAATCCCTGTGGAACTGGGGTCTCCTTGTGGTCAAGACAGGGGAACTGGGGTGAAAGAGGAACGGGGCCCGTTAGTCTTCCTTCCAGGAAAATGTCCCAAAGTATTTCCAAGAGCCAATGGCAACAAGACCAAGGCCAAGGCTGTTGGATGTAGGCGTCAGGAAAGCAGCAAAGACCGCCTATTGCTTCCCCCAGATGTTCGCTCTGGGGGCATATTGGACCCTCAGCCCAGTTCGTGTGATCTAGCTGACAATCTCTGAAAGTAGCTCCTCTGAAAGCAGACTAATTTGGCTGGACTGCCGCTGGCTGCTCCTTGGGGCAGAGACATTGCCCTGTTGGATGGGCAGTACGCCCCCCTCCCTCTGAGGTTGGAAATAGCCCAGGGTTTTTATGCTGCCTCTCTGAGGTCATGGCAGGAAGAGGAGAGGGGATGGACAGAAAAATCCCTCCAAAAGAGCTTAGCCTGTAGAGGCGGCGGCGGCGGCGGCGGCGGCGGGGGGCGGGTCTCAAGCTTTGGCCGGCTGCTCAACTAGCGGGCAGGGAAAGGCAGGGGCCGAGACTCCACATTGACAACCGAACAACCACGGGTACTTCTGCCCCTCCGTTCCCTGGCCAGCGTTACCTAAGGAAGGAGAGTATCAAGAGACCCCGAGAATTCGGTAGCATCGTTTGTCTTAAAGGTCAATTGAAACATGCAAGCAAATATAGACCGACAATTAAACAGAAAACAAACACCATTGCAGGAATGGCTGGATGAGACCATGAGGCTTTGTGCTGGAAAACCCTTTTATGCTTTTTGCACTGCCAGGGATAGAGGAAAAAAGTGGACGGTGCGGTGAGTTTCTGTGCCTCTTGGACCTGGCTGATTATTCTCAGAGTCAAAAAAAAAAGGGACATCAACGGATAGCACTTTTTTTATTCAACTGATTCATCATCTGATCTTGTGCAAACAAGCGGATATTTTCTGGCAGGAATAGTCAATGTGGCCTTTTCCTCT